TGGGGGTTTGACTACCGATGCATCTATTGGGGAAAAATTTTTTTTTTCTTGAAACCTAACAAAAAAAAGGAAAAACTAATAAATAATGCCAAAATTAATAAATAAAAAATATATCGTACAATCAGGCTATGTTTCTTAAAAGGCTTTTCATTTATTAACCACCTTTGTAGTAATTAAAATCGTTATTATGTTGTTTTGACACAGATAATGCAATTTTAACTATATACAATTTTCGAGTAATTTTAGTGCATATTTTAAACGAAGAGTGAATTAACTAATATGCTAGATTTATAAAAACTTTTATCTACTCTTCAAAAAGCATGGCCACTTTGAGATTTACGCTTTCAATCTGTAAATGTTCATTTCATAGAAAAATACCGAGATAAATTACCAGTACCCTTAGATGAGATATTAATCTTGGTTTTTTCCGACTACGGCGAAACATAGAGAAGGATTATAATTTTAAACGATACGTATATATCTCAGAATGTTCATCTGTTTCCGTATAACTTCGTAATCACTCAATGTAACTGGACAACTAGAAGCGTCTTAGTTATCCGCATGCATAGCCTATATGTGATGTTACATTAAATTGACAACAGCGCCCTCTAGAAAGAATAAAGTAAGAAACTAAAAAAATATATTATTCAATCATTCCATGTACGGTATTAAGTGAAAGGGCTTAATTAGCACATATCAATTCATTGATAGCTTTTGTTTGAGATTGCTTGAATAGGTATGACAAAAAATAATTAAATAAAAAATAAGTTTGAAAACAATAACCCGACTACAGCTTTATCACGCTCTAAAACGTTTGAAACAAAAAAAATGCAATAGCAATAGCTATAATATAAAAGCGATAAGCAAAGAACAGCGTAGTCGTATGCCACAACAGTTTGTTTGGTTTTGTGATCATAAAAAATGTGTTTTGTTGAGGTTATAAATTAGTAGGTAAAATTTAAAAGGGATATTTTTTTCTTCTTTTTAGAGCTTTTAAATAAAAGTTCTTTTTTATTTTTTTCGTTTTTAATTTTTTTTTTACTGTCTGTTCACCTCATTCAACGCATCATTGTTGCAAGGTCGTTTGCCGTTTAATTTCGTTATTTTTTTAAAGCATTAAAAATTTAAATAGTGCGCCATATTGGATTAATTATTCTCGGCAAGCCCTTTCATTTGATACCCATATTGTCGAAGTAGATTAAAAATAACTATTCCCTATCCTGTTTGGTCCGCCATATTAGATATAGAATGACGTCACAATATTTCTCTCGTTATTTTCAACGAGCCCACATTAATGCATAAATTATTATTTATCAATAGAAGAAAAAGAATAGTTATTTCTATTCTTCTTGAATATTCAGCCATATTGGATTTCGAATAACGTCACATTCATTTTCAAATTACTCTCAACAAGCCCTTTCATTTGATACCCATATTGTAGAAACGAATTAAAATAACTATTCCGCCATTTTGGTTGATCCGCCTTATGGGATTTAGAATGACGTCACACACCTTGTCATGCATGCATTGTCATCCAAACTAAACATGTATACAAAATATCAGCTCAGTCGGTTGAAGATATCTACTTCAAAATTAAGTTCAAAAATTCCACCCGAACAAACATACTAACATATATTGCAAGTTAAATAAAAGCTTATAAAAATATAAAAAGAGATGCGACTGCAATATCTTTTCGTATTTTCGAATATTTTTCTATAGCTTATAAATTAAAACAGCATTTTGAATGCAATTTGTCAGATATAAACGAGAAAGATTAAAAGTCAGTCGAATTGCCGAATTTTCAGCCGATTTAAAATGTTTCAACATTAAATTACAAATTTCATGCCACTATACTTATGTTTTCAACGTCATTAAAATAACAAAGCTATATGTTCTATATTATGTCTGAGCTTCAAATATTATTGCATTAAAATGTAATTTTATACCACAATTTTCGTCGTGAGTGACACTTGTGATAACTAGATATTTGAGTACTGTTTCCAATATCAATTACAAAAATATTGCAGCTGCTCCGTTTTGTATCAGAGTTATGTATATAAACGTTTTCTATCGTCTTTTCTTTTGTGACGAAATTCGAACGAAATTAAATATGAAACTAGAAGGAAGTCTGGAGGGCTTATACAGTCGAAACTAAAGGTCATACTCGAATTTATTTAAAAACTTAATTTCAAAATTTATTTCAATAACTCTGATCTCTTCTATACAAAATTATATTAACATTTCAATCAAATATTACTCGCGATATCTTTAGTAAATTCTTACCTTATCTCGAGTTTTAAACTCAAGAAATATAATTAGGGAAAATTCAGACTACTTAGATGAAACATTTTAAATGAAATTAATAAATCAAACAAAATCTGTTCCGGGGGATTAAGAAACATTCCAATTACTGGAGGTACTTGTAACGTAATCCTACTTGTAAAAGTTAGATAATTTATCGAGGATTTCAAGGAATCTTAATATAATAAATTTCTCCTTATTATCTCCTTATATCCTTATTATAGTCTACCCATTCCAAAACAATGCTTCGCGTTCCTCTCCTACAATCAAAATTTTATCAAACTATACTTAAAACGATTACGATAGAAGGTTAAAAACTTGCTTCATAATATAATAAAGTATTATTAAACTTTGAGAGTGATTTAATTACAGCACTATAAGTATACGTCACTCACTCTGACTAATCTTGCTGTGTTATAACGGACGATCTAAGTTTTGCTTCCCGTAACAATTTAACAGCCTTATTAAGACAATCAATGCGTCAATTAAAGTATTTTCATACGAAAATCACGCTAAAGTAAGAGTCGGCGACGCTCAATAATAAAGATTGTCTGTAAATATTAAAAATTTAATGAGTTACAAGATTAGATCCATATAAAACCTTTTTCTTAATAATACCGTGTAATGATAGAAATGTATATGTTTTCTGCGTTCTTCTCTCACAACATTCTAGCAAATCATGTTCGCATGAAAATGTTACAAAGATTTCAACAAACAAGGGGGCAAATAAAGATGAGGCGTATTTACTAGAACAGTATTTTGGAATATTTAAAAGCGTCTATTCGAACTTTGTTATAACTTGATCCCTCTATAAAAGTCTTTCTATAACTTACACGATTTTCAACACTGTATTAAAACAGATATCATAATGTCTAACATGTCTGTGTAATAAATAAGTGCCGGCGGATACTTACGAGTATTGCTAATTTTTATAAGCAGGCAGAACGATATATCCGTTAAAACCGTTTCCTATTGTCTGCCTTATTTGCCGCTGAATACATGCCACAGTAAATATCGTGTTCATCTAGATTTTCCTCGGTATCACAATTTTGACACTACACTACACTAGTAATATTCCATCAAGTGTAAGACTAAAACTAACTAACTAGCTTGAACTATCGCATAAAATTATAAGAACCATTTTGAGGTCCCATTTTATATGTTTGTAAATAGAATTCCTAATAATATCATATGAGATAGACAAGGTGAAACATATATTATGATAATATTTAGAATAGGTGTAACTAGTGTAAAATCGATCTAGTATATGCCACCACTAGCAGCAGGTTATGTGCACATCACATATGTAAACGGGTAAACGTATTACCCTTCCAGAAACGTATTTGCATGCCGTAATGTAACATAATATGCTCATACATATAATGACAACTACGTAACTGTGCTTAAACTATGCGAATAGACAATAATATTTGTAATATAAATAATACAATATTTTATTTATCCGTTTGTTTATTAAATAAACAACAATCTACTTTCTTTATTGTCCGAGTAAATAGTAAAAGAAGCAAATATGATGCTCCTTTTATATACTTTGATTTATGTATTTTGATATTTATTTCTATACCATGACTTAATAAAACAGAAAAAATAAAAAAGAAAATATTAAAAGTATACAAAAACTTCAAAAAGGGTTTATTGTCGTCGTCATCGTCGATAACAGTGTTTATACATGAATATATTGAAAAGTCAGTCACAAATAGAAGCAAGCAAGCGAACTAAACATATTTTTATTTTACAACCTTCTAACATAGAGTGTTCAACCTCGTAAAACCTATAAAGTTCAATTTAAGAACAAAAAATACATTACAAATGATATGGGGCCTTATCATTTTCCGTGCTCGTGAAAAACACATCTCGTCACAGAATTGTGATGACTTTTTTCACGCTCGGCTTATTATTCAGAAATGAAAGATATATTCTCACTTTAACCTTATGGCTTCAAGATAAGCGACTAAATATTCAGACCGTAACTTTTTTATTCATCATTTATTACCTTTTCTAATTTATTATATCTGTAAAATGTGGCTCACTTCAATTGCCATATAAGTAATACGTTAATATGTTAGAGAACCTGCGAGACAAATGTAACTGATATTTATTGTTGGATTGATGTTATACACACGTGCAAGTGTAAAAACTCCTAAGTACTAGCAAAATACTTCAGAAGTGAAGTATTTTCTTGAGATTTATATCAGTAAAAATATGATACAATATCATCAGCCAATTAATTTCGCCAGTGTTAAGGTACAGTCCGTCCCTATGGATGGAATAGAATAGGGGTATGGATGGAATAGTACTAGCGACCGCAGATGTTGCTGAAATCAACGGTTTAACTTGCCTTCCGAAGCACTGAGGAGCTCGAGATAATAAAAAACACTTAAAATGAGCTACTAATGGTAGCAAACAAGTTTTATCTAAAATATCAATTAAAATTAAAATAATAAATCGAGTGAATAAAATAGACGAAATTGTATACGTTGGATACCTACAAATTGAAGAGCTGGCAGAATATCCGTGTGCAAAATATCACGCACGTCACGCACTAAAATCTCTAAAAATGCTGAATTGAAAAAAGCAAGAACAAGCTGACCAAGAAATTGCTATGAGTTTCAGGCGTAGAATAAGTCTTCTATATAAGGACTATTATTTCAAAGGAAATATTTGTTTGTATTTTTTAGGCGTGTCGATTCTACTGCGCACTAAAATGGAAAGAAGAGCAACTAAACTATTATATGAAGACATACGCATTATACATAGAAACACCGGTAGCTATTCCATAATTGGTTCCATCTATTGGGCAGTCCTATGCCTCAGCAGTGAGTACGTTGATAAGCTTGCTAATGATGATAAAAAGGTCGATGCTTACTGGCAGATTTTTAATTAAGATTAGCTTAAAACTCCAGTATGGTAGGTCAGTGTGCACACAGTACTATTCTTCTGTAAATATTTTATGAATTACTAACTTATATATATTGTTAATTATAAACTATTTAAACGTTTAATGAAGCTCTGCATCGACCACAAGTATCCTATTTATAGACGGTATAGTTCAAATAAATATAGATTGATTAAATAAATTATCATTTTCAGGTGATTTAATGGATATGTTGGCATTGTTCACGTCGTCTGTGAACTTCGTGCTGTACTGCAGTATGAGCAGACAGTTCCGCTGTACCTTCGCGAGGCTGGCCCGCAGGATGCTGTCGGCGGCTGAGGAACCAGTCAAGTTGGGGACCAAACTGGAACCAACAACGCAGGTATCAATGATCGGTTTCCCTTTGAGATTGGCTTAATAATAAATAATAATATATATGCTTAAATAATTGAGTATTTGTAATTGACCTTACTTATAAACATAGATAATCTTAGAATGGATGAGTTTTGTTTTAAGGCTTAGTAACATTCAGTTTATTTCAAGTTACATTGAAATTTAACGTTGATTGACACATCCTATCTATTCTCGGGAAAATAAATAATCTTCATTGACATTGTCTACATGCAATCTCATGAATATAATTAAAACATACAATATAGAAAAAAATGAATAAACATTTCTGAATAGTAAAAGAAACGGTATAATTCTAACGGAATTTAAACGGAACGGAAGAAGCGTCTCAGGAAGAATGCGTTAGTCGAATAACATCTATACTTAATACTTATGTTGAATACATAATTGCTGAATCACTTAATCTATAAACCATTTAATTTTAATATAAAGATGAAGAGTTGGTTGGTTGGTTGATCGCGCTAATCTCAGGGACTATTGGTGGAATAAAAAAATTGTATATTTATTGAAGAAAGATAAAGGCTTATACTCGTATAATATCACGTTATGACTACTAAGAGAAGAGTACCAACGTAAAATATTGCAAGAACTGGAATATCACGCGGGCGTAAAAACTAGTTTCATATATTTGTCAGCGAAGTTGCGCGGCCGACTAAGTAGAAGACGCACATATCTTCTGATTCTGATATGCACCGACTCTAAACCATTCTCAGACGTAAGCATTGACTATAATAATAACTTTATTGTCATATAATTATGCAACAAAACAATGTGAAGTATCTGACCTCTGTGGTATGTATAAGGTCTGTGGGAAAAGTTAGTGCCAATTAAAAACATGGTTACTTATTATTATATTTGGGATAAAGTGGATTTTTTAAGCATTTTTGATTAAGAATATTTTTTAGAACAAAAATAGAACAAAATTTTATCTTTACCGAAAGTTTAAATATTTGTAAAAATATTTCTTTCGGCTTTTTGAGTGGATTGCCTGAACATTGATGAAAATACGCTCAGTAGTGAAAAAGTAACAAGTGTTTGAAAAATCGAAAAAAAAGTGTCAGGGATAAAGTAGTTTTTTTCATTAAGAACATGGTTACACATGTTTTTAAATAACCAAAATAACTGAAATGTTTGTCTTACTAATCGATAACATAACATTATTTTATGAGTACAACGAGTTGTTTTGAATTATATATCTAAGTTGTTTTTTTAAATTTCCATTATTCGCTGTTATCTTTCTATCGCTTTCGCCCGAAAGATCTTGCGTTATATTATGACAACTTAAGCTACCATCTTCTTTTTTTCGATAATATTGCTTGTCCCTCATTTTTATCCATAAATATTACATTGTAATTGTTTTGAACGATTCTCGAAATAATTGTGTTTTACAAGATTTCCTTAATGTCTTTAGGTTGAGAGGTAAAAAACATTTTTTTTATTTCGAAATATAACTTTCGAATGAAAACTCTCAATTTGATATTAAATTGTTTCAACCATGGCCCCTATTAATAACTTCTTCTTCACAGACACGCTCATTATATATATTTTTTTTTGTTTTATGTATAAAAAACAATTCAATTGTCTACTGTATTTTAACGTGACAGAACAAATCAAATAAACAAAGAATCTTTGGAAAAATCTCTTAAGATTCCGGAACTTCGTCTCTTCTTTCAAATAATATTTTTTATAAATTATACTGGTATAAATATATTCAAAGTAAATTGTAATTAACTACATTAAAAAAGATTAACGATAATAATAAATAACAAACAGTACGTGTTAATTTTCCCTTATCCCAACACAGGACATCTAATAATGAAAGGTCAATGGAATTACCGCTTCTCTGGGGATTTTCTCTGTCCCAAATATTGTGCTAAATTTATATGACAAATGTACAAGTTTCTAAGAGTCAAGTAAGTATATGAAAGAGAAACTTCACTTAAAGGAAACTTCACTTGGGCTTTCTCAAAGAATAATTTTCTGTGACGAATAAAAACTTCTAAAACTTCAAGAGAATTTAAGTGCTTAAAGCATTCAAAATGTTATAATTTTAGTTTAGCAAAATGATAAATTATACCAAATTGTAAAGTTATAGAATCAGAAACAGATTAAATTATAATAAAGAAAAGCAAAAAAAAAACTTATTTCAAAAAAGAAAACAGACTTTAGCAAAATGATAATACTTATCTCAGAATCAACTAATTCAATAAAACGCTATTGAAGTTGGGTGGAGGTTTTCTGTAGGTTATTAATTAAATAATATGCACCCAATTTCAATAGCATTTTATTGAATAAGTTTTATAATGCTAGAAATCAGTTCTATATTATGAAAAAAATAAAAATTTGAAAGACCCCGACACAATATAATAAAAAAAATAAAGTAAAAAGCTTAAAAACAAATTAAAAAAATATTACTTAATTGTCCAAAAATAATGCACTAATGACTTCAAAACAGAACCTCTTCGATTTTGAAGTCGGTTAAAATTCCTAATATACTAATTAAAAGATATTGTGAAATGCCACATGTCCTAAAATACCTACATATTGCGTAACTTTGCAACGTTTATCAATGTAAAATGAAACCGTTAAATGTTATTTTTCGTGATATCTTAGTTGGTTAATAATTCTCGAGTCGGCCATTTTATACAAAGGCGGGTCTCAGTTGAAGTAAGCTTCAAATGAACGAGTATTTTCGCATTCTTTCATAATAGGGATGACGACTAATTTTTGTTTGTTTGTCCGTCAGGTAGAGTGTTAAAAAATATTATTTATCGTATTTTTTTTACATATTCATAAAATTACGGCGTTAAATGGCGTTGAAATTTCGCATGACGTCACGTTATGGTACGTTTTCTACTAAACTGTGACGTAGCGAGCCCCCACTCCTCAACTTTAATGCCTGTTTTTTAAGTTATTTCTTGTTAAATTGAAGTAAATAAAATACGAATCTATTTTTTTTTCTATTATATGACTGACGGACTAAATAGAATTGCATTTTTTTTACCCAGTCGTCATCCCTATTACCTCCCCACACTGCTACCCACTCGCATCTAAAACAACAATAGACAATATTTCATTTAGGTAACCACATAAGCCCATAGTCGTGGAATTTTCTTCTCTTAAATTGATGTTTAAGCCGCATTTTCTAATCGGGCGACAATCGAATAATAATAATGGGCCCACCACGCATGCCCAGTGCGGATTGGTGGGTGTAAACAACTGTATATGCAGACGGGACCAACGGCTTAATACCTAAGGCTTCCGAAGCACGGAGGATCTTGAGATAGTAAATTTTTGGTCACCCATCCTATGACCAGCCATTGCGAAGGTTGCTTAACAATCGCCGACCAAGCGCGCTAACCACTGTGCCATCGAGCTCCTTACATTTCATATACATAAAAAAGTTTTATTGTACTCAGGTCAATTAAAGGATGCGCATGCTTAATTCATATTTATTGCGGCCTCCCTAAACCCAAATGATTACAGCGTACAATAAAATTTATCAGCAATTCAGGTTTCAAATATGTATAAAAAACGAATTGAATAATGAAATTTTATAAAAAAAAAATTAAAGATTCAAGTGGGTACTGCGAATATTTTAAAAATTCTTGCTCTTATCGTTAAACATCTTGTTTTTTTTTTTTTTTTTTAATTATAGCATGTTCCCCCACTTTTGAGCAGGCTGTCTTATTTTTCTCTTTTTGTTTTTTTATGCTTGTTGTTATGTTTTTCTTTTTTTTACAGACCTGGTTGGTCTGTTGTCTTGGGGATCACTTTTTTCCCTCTTTTGAGCATGTTCTTATTTTCTATTACATATTTTTCTTATTCTATTATTTATATTATTCTTTTTTTTAGTTACATTTTTTCTTTTATCTTGTTACATTTTATCTAGTTATATACATATATATGTTTACTTATTTTAGTTTACAATTTTGTTTGTATTCTATATTTTTATTATTTTTGTTACAGGTTACTTACTACTATTATAATATCACAGATCATTTTGCTGTATTTGCGTCTACTCATACAATTTCTATTCAATCCTTGTTTCTTTTTACAATATTCTCTACCATTTTACAAGCATACTTGAGAAACTCGTCTCTTTCTTCTATATTTGCAATAATTTTTTCTAGGTTTGGCCTACTAAGTTGTGTGTTGATGCTGCTTTGTAAAGTGTGCCTATTTATACTAAGTATTGGGCATTCTAGCAGGATATGGAATATATCTTGTTTTGTTTGGGGGTCGCATTCGCAGTATGGGGTATCCCTGCATTTGTATTCATGGAGGTAGGATCTAAACCCTCCATGCCCCGTTAGCAACTGTGCAGCCCATCTATCAATCTTCATCTTACGTACGACGCCGAAGGCCAATTCTCCACTGGGGAAAAAGGCCTTCGTCGTGGTCGCGGTGCTTTCGCTCCTATAGCGTCTGTCCCATTCTACTTTTGTCAAACTGCGTAAATGCCTTTTGACAAAAGAGATGGGACAGCCGTCGTAGTGCGACTTGCATTTTAATCCGAGAGCCGCCCCCTTCGCCAGCTCATCCGCTCTCTCGTTCCCAATCACGCCGACATGGGCCCTGATCCAAAATAGGGAGACCTTGCGGTCTAGTTCCCTAAGTTGGACCAGGTTGCCTTGTATCGCTTTCGTGATTGGGTGCGACGAGTCTGGATCTTGCAGCGACTGTAGGGCGGATCTCGAATCGCTAAGCACCGCGACCTCCTTCCATTCTTTACTCATCATGCATTCTGTCGCTTGGAGGATGGCATACAGCTCGGCTTGGAAGACTGTACAGTATGGCTCCAGCTTAAACTTCCGGGATGCGATCTCAACAGCACCTTTCCAACAGGTCAAGGCTGCACCGACTTTTCCCTCGAGTTTGCTACCATCTGTATAGATCTTCACAAGACCTTCTGCTAGTTTGCCATCCTCTTCTGCGTTCTCCAAGCATTCATACTCTATCATGCTGAGGCTGCCGGGGTGGTTCGATTCGAGCAAGGATACCCTCTCCTCTATTTTCCTGCCTCTTAATATTGCCTGGGGTTTCCCGCGCTTTGCTTCATAAAGCCGGGATGCTTCTTGAATCCGAAGATCCAGCGGAAGCAGCCCCGACAATATTAATGCGGAATTTAAGGAAACAGTCCTATAAGTTTTCGCGATTTTTTGTGCGAACCCCCGTTGTAGTGCGTTAAGCGCTTTTTTACTTCTGACTTTCTCTGCTTCCTTGCCCCAGACGCTAGCTGAATACAGTATAATGGGTTCAATGACCGCCACGTATATCGTTCTGATTATTTCTTGATTAAGACCCCATGTCAGTCTAGCCGATGTTGTTAGCCCCTTATATATATTAATCGCCTTTCGGCATATGTAACTGATGTGTGAGTTAAAAGTTAATTTTCTGTCCACGATCACCCCCAGGATTTTTATTTCTTTTTCGATATCTATTTTTATCCCTCCCATAACTAATTGGGGCGTGTCATATTTTAGCTTTTTAGTTATAATAAGTGCTTTGGTTTTTTGTGGTGCAAAATTAAGTTTATTGGACACGCCCCATTCTCTTACTTTGGCTAGGGCATCGTTTGCTATTACTTCCACTTCTCTGGAGGTTTTCGCGGACACAATTAGGACTACGTCATCCGCGAAGGCTTGACTGTAGATTCCGCTTTCGGTGAGGATATTCAGGAGAGGGTCTAGTATAATGTTCCAGAAAAAGGGTCCGCCTATGGACCCTTGTACACATCCTTTATTCGTTTTTCTATTTATCTCCTCTCCCGCATATCTCACCGCGACGGATCTATCGCTCAGATAACTAGCTACAAGCCTTCGCAGGTTTATCGGACAGTTCAATTTTTGCAGCTGACAATGGATTCTGGGCCACCAGGCATTGTCGAAGGCCCCCTCTATGTCCAGCGATATCAAGGCGACAATCTCCTTCCCTTCCAGATTGCTCCTAACACGCTGGATCATGTCATAGAGGGAGTCCTCAGTACTCCTCTGCGGCATAAATCCGTATTGTCTTTGGTTTATTTTCGGTAATATGTGCCATTTAAGTCTTTTTACCAGCATTTTTTCATATGTTTTTCCTAGTACAGGTAGTAGGCCTATGGGTCTGTAAGATTTGGGTTGGTTATAGTTCGCTTTGCCGGGTTTTCTCAAAGTTATTACGGTTGCGGTTTTCCATGGGGAAGGAAAATGGGTTAGTTCTAACCCTTTATTGAAGATGGCGAGGGCTACTGTGGTGTCGGCTCTTATTGTTGCTGCGCATATATCAGCGGTGAATCCGTCTCCACCCGGTGCCTTTTTCCGGTCAAATGACTCCGAGGCATGAATCAGCTCCGCTTCCACAAAGGGGGGGTCGTAGCAATCATTGTTACTCCCCTCCATTGCTTTGGCCGCCCTGACTCTAACCTCTTTGTGGACGTCATTTTCCCCGTCTTCGGAATCTACCGGGTAGAAGCATTCCGCTATAATTTGAGCCGACTCCTCCGGGTTGCAGGTTTTTCCATCCTTAATCATAAGTTGATCTTCGCCGTTTTTTTTTGTTTTTGCAATGACTCTATATATTCCTTCCCACATGGTTTCTCTTGTCTGCTTCCCGCAAAACTCCTTCCAGCACTCTGTTCTTGCCTTATCCATTCCTTTTATGTATTTTTCTTTTGCTATTTGAAACTGTTGAATGGTATAGGCTTTCCTAGTGTTAGATGAATTTTTGATTTTTTTCCTTTTTTTGTTCTTTTCTTTTCTTAGTTCTTTTAACTCTTCATTCCACCACACGATTCCTATTTTATTGACTGATTTTTTAGGTTTTGTATTATTTTCTGTTATTTCTCTGATTATACTAGTATATTTTTCTATTATTGCTTCATATTGTTGTATGTTTATTATTTTATCTATCTCCTCTTTTGTAATTTTTTCCTTGTCTAATTTGTCTTTTATTTCTTCTTTAAATTTTTTCCAGTTTGTTTTCTTCGTGTTATATTTTCTAGTTGTTTTATTATTATTTTCTATCTTTTCTTTTCCTGTTTTTATTTCAAATATGATCGTGTTGTGGTCCGAAGTAGTTATTTCCTCATCTACTCTCCAGTTTTCAATATAACCCAGCAAGTCCATAGTGCAGAATGTAATGTCGACGTGGCTCTTGTATTCAGTGTTGCCACGCCATGTGTGGAATGTAGGAGTTTTCCCGGTATTTAGTATTTCCATACCCATATCATTTATTAACCCTGCTAATTCTTTACCTCTCTCATTACTTTTTACACTTCCCCACCATTCGCACCATGCGTTAACGTCGCCCGCCATGATAATTTTGCATCCTCTGTTGTCTTCTTTTATTTTCTCTAGTTGGTCTGTGTATTCCTTTATTTCTTTTTCTGGCTCGAAGTAAATTGACGCGAGTATGATCGGCCAATCGGGTGTATTTATTTTAATTACAGTGATATTTGGTGTTGTTACGTCGGGGAGGGAATGTACTTTTAAGTTGTTATTAAATATAATTATAGCTGTTTTATTCACTCTCCCCGACATTTGGTTTGCTTGATAGATTCTCGTTCCCGACTGGCCGGCCACTACTCCCGTGTTGCCAGTGTATGGTTCTTGCACTAACGCAATTTGCGTTTTTCTTTCTGAGGCTGCTTGTATCAACTCTGCGGTGGCGTTTTTCGATCTTTGTAAATTTGTTTGCATTATCTCGTTTTTGTTTAGGCTGCCCTTAGCAGTATGAAGTTTTGGTTCTAGCTAACTTGTCCATTCTTAATCTTATGGGGCAGATGTTGCTAAATGCATTATGGTTTAGTTCTCCTTTATTATTTGCGTCCTTCATACAGTTACGACATTTCGGGGGGATATCTTTGTTTTTGCACGCAGCATATAGGTGGTCTTCTCCACAATGGCAGCACCTGTCCAGCTGCTCCTTGCAAAACCGTTTGCTGTGGCCGTAGCCCAAACAGCGGGAGCATTGGATAAGCGGGGACTGATCCTCCACGATGGAATAACCCCATCGTAGTTGTACACTCCCCGCCTCTGTCAACTGCTGCCATGTGAGTGGATCCACTCGGAGAACCACATTGGCTACGTGCGGATTTTTAGTCTTTTTTTCATATGCTTTTTCTATCTCCTCCTTTTGTTCCAACCCCCTTTTTCCTATCTTTTCTATTTTTCTTCTTATTGCCTCTATTGCTTGCTCTGTTTTGTTTTCTCCTTTAACATTTCTAACTATTATTAGCGGATTTTTATTCCTTGCCTTTTCTATTTGTAATTTATTATTTACTTCTAATGTTTGTTTTAGTTTCTTTACTTCTTCCTCTTTTGTGCAGCTAATGATTACTTTTCTATCCTTTGCCTTCTTTACTTTGACTACCTCGCACCATTCCTCTTTACCCTCTGCTGTTTTTCTAATTTCACTAAACACTTCCTCTCCAGTCTTATTTTCATCTGTCGAGTTAACTATTATTGAGTGATAAGTGGCGCGAGGTTGTTCCTTTATTCCTTCCTTTACTCTTTCCGCGTATGTATAGTTTTTCCTTTTTGTTTCCGTTTCCCTTCCTTGTGGTGTTTTTATGTACTCTTTTTGCGTGTTTTTAATTTCTTCCATTATTTCTTTACCCTTTTTATTATCCTCCTTTATCTCTTCTGTTGCTTTTCTAATTTTATCCATTTGTTCTTTTAATTTTATATCCGCTTTCTGTTTTTCTTTATACGTATTTATTATCTCTTCATATTCTGTTTTATTTATTCCTTTCCTTTCTTTATTTATCTCTGTCATTCTTTTTGTCATTATTTTCATCTCTTCCAGTATTTTATCCATTTTTTCTTCCTTCTTTTTCTCCTCTTCCTCCTTCTTTTTGCTATTTATTTGCTTTATTTCCATTTTTATATCTTCCAGTTGTTGTTTCGCTTCTATTTGCTGTGTCTCTATTCGCTCCCCTTTCTCTTTTCCAATTACCACTTGTTTCATCATGTCAAACAATATATCCTGTACTTCGGCTTTAATTCCTTGACTTGTTTCTACTGACTCATTTAAACATTTCTTAAGGAGTTCCTCTATTTTTGTGCAATCCATTATTTGTATTTTTTCAGAGCTTCCTAGTAAATGTTTATATTGTTCCTTTGTTTTATTTCCTTCTTCGTCTAGCATTTTAAGTCTTCCACTCATTTCGTATATTATACTCATCATTTTTAGTGCGTCATCCGTTATTTGTGCTTTAGCGCTAGATGTTGTTGTGGCTTTTGCTATGCTACCATATAGTTCTGTCCCTATGTTATGCATTTCTTTCCAGCCTTTCTTTTCCAATTCTTTATTTTTTGTTTTCTCGTCTGATTTTTGCGAATGGTGGGTTATTAGTTCTAGGTTTTCTTTTTTATTTGCTAATCTTGTACTTCTTGATGATATTGCCATGTTAATTGTGGGGTTTGTTTGAAGTAAATAAATTAAGTTGATAAATTAATAAACAAAACATCTTGTTACAGGTCACCGGGCCGCTATAGCGTCAAATGCCCGCCCTTATAAGGGTGGTAGAAGAGAGTATAATATAAGAATGCAAAGGTAAGGCCCTTTGGTTAAATCTCAATGTTGTCTTGTGATCCCTTAGTGTATGTAATGTCATAATAATGACATGACAACAAATGAAATGAACCTCCATCTGAGAGACGGCATTGTTAGGATATTCGTGTTTGAGGTTTTAGGGTTTTAATTTTAAATACAGGAATCATTCTGAATATTTATTTCTGAATAGTTATAATAAAATACGATGCATTTTTATAAAACAAAATACAATAGTTATATTATAAGTGGATTTCACATATTTTAATAACTTCCCCGTTCTGTAACAGGTCTTTTTTGTTCTTGAAAATGTGTATGCTATATTTGTATTCTCTTTTGTGAGGTGTTATATTTTTAGATTTTAAAAAACTTTGTCTTGGTTATTCTTTTCCCCTTGTCCTTTTTTCAACTATTTTCCTGCCTTCTTACATTTTCATACTTTTTCTATATACACATTCATTCAATTCTATATATTTATTTGTTTACAGTACGTAAATTATATGTTCATTGTTTTACAATTCAGTTAATTTATTTTTTCATAGAATATAAACTACTTTCTTACCTTTCCTTAGCAGATTTGCGATTACACAATATTACTCGACCGCTATCTATTTATCAGAAGATAAAAACTGTTAAAAAATAATCTAAATGTTTTAAGTTGCTGTTGTGATTATTTTCATTGAAAAATTCAGACGAACTGACATCCAAAATGATTATCGTACGTGCCAATAATATAAAACAACGAAAAAGGAATAATAAAAAACGACTTTTAACTTCAGAATCACAAAAAGAGTTAAATTTTAAAGGATTTAAGAAAAATATGGATGGTGTGGATGAACCGCAAAACGTTACATAGCTAGTTATAAAATTCTATAAAGCATCATTTTGAAGTTTTGCGAAATAGGCCAAAAGTTAAATATGGTAAGGAGCAATACTTCTTTTCTTAGTAATTTAGGAAACCCACCGAGATAGCGTAGGATTAAGCTCTACATAATATCCCAGTTTGACTGCAAATTTGTAGGGAAATAAGGCTTCGTTAAATATAGGATTTGCGAGAATATTTCAGAATAAGCCTACGGCTATTAATTAAAATTGATATTATTGCTCGACTAAGATATTTTACATTAATTAGAATAATATTTTTAACAGAATAATTTTTGATAAATTAATATTGATATAATCAATATGATTCGTATCTTCAAACAGAAAACGTTTTCTTTGAAAAATACATACTAAATATTCATACATTCGATTCAGTAATAGATATTCTAATTCCTTTTCTATATTTATTTAATATTTATCGCAATGCAATAAAGGGCGGACATAATGCCGTATGGCATTCTCTGCTAGTTGACTCGTAACTCGTGACAGACTGAAATAAACCATAGGGGGTGGCGCAATAAAGAGATTATACAGAATATGTACTCATATTCTTTATGGATGATGATACTGCAGATGTAGCTAAATAAACGACTTGACTAATAAATTTTTGGTCATTCGTCCTATGACGAACCGAAGAGACCGAACGTGCTGCATATTGTATCGTCGAGTTTTCTTAAGAATCTGATAAATATAAAATTACTAAGTGATATAAATTTGAGAAGTTTTATTATACAGTGATCATTTCAATATCAGATGAGTAACCAAAAATTTATTATGTCAAGCTCCAGCTTCAAACGATACGATAACAGGGCCTGTGCTATTTAAAGGTGTTAGCGATTGAAGACTGACAGCTCAACGTACCTTTCGAAGCAAGAAATATTTAATCAACCATTTGTGGAATTCAGAATTCAAATACATTTGTACATGAATAGAATGTCAGTATTAATATACTTTTATTTTTACAGGTACCTAATTCGCTCTCTAGGACGAATAGTTTGTAGGTAATTTAAGATATAGTGTATAGAATAAATTCGAATTATTTAAGTAGTGTATGTTAGATGAATTATAAAAGTAGTTCTCTAGTTTTTGCGTCTTTTGAGCCACGACGCAAGATCTAGATTTTGTACACACTTATCAATAATTATGTTATTTTGTACATTCACCGCCGGACACTATTAGATATTTAATACTAGGGTCCAAAAGTGATTTAAATATTAATTAATTTGTAGTTTCAACTGTTGATGTAAACTTGCATTTATGTAAGCCAAAGTTATTTGTAATTTAGAATGTAAACTACGAGTATTTGATGTTAAACCGTGTTCTTGTAATTGTTGTAAATATGATTTCAATAAATAGTGTAAAATGAAACGGTTCATACCAAATATTAACAATATGAATACTTGTCATGTCAATATAATATATAAGAAAAGTTCTTTGTAAATAATTCATGAGTGGTAAGAATAATTCTTTCGTAATTTTTATCTTTTTTATTGCTAGGTCTTGGATTGACGGTCTCTTTATAAAATAATGTGTGTTCACAATACGCACGATTTTTATCATTCAAATAAATCAATGCCAAATAAAAGTTTAATTTCGACTGGGAGTTTTATTTAACATTTCCAATACGAGACAGTTACTAATAATATTTGTTTTGAATAGCTATATATATTTCTGCAGAATGAATTATTTTATTTGCTTACCGACTACATAAAAAAATATTTGATTGTTCAAATTCTAATTAACAAGTGAATACATAGTTATTATCAGAGTCATTGAGGTTGCATGCAGATTTAAAACAACATCACAAATCAAGTAGTTAAAGCACTTCTAATATGGAAATTAAACGATGTAGGTTACCTGGCTACGTTTTCTTACTCCAGTTCGAGATAATAAAGAAAAGGAATTAAACCACGGATGACTCAGCTACGAAGATCATCAAATAGTAGACATGTAGGCTATCCTCACAAATACTCTTGGTAAATTGACTGTCAACAAAAAATGCCAAAGTTAAAAGCAATATTACGTACAAATTTTGTATTTACATATTTTTTTCGTTGGCTTATAAATATTGTACTTTACTGCATAATATCTTTATGATAATAGTATACAATGTTTACGTTTACGTGCTCCGCCAGTCCTCAGTCACGAATTTTATTGCCAAAATTAGCTCTAAATTGATAAACTCAAAAACTACATATATAGGTACTGAATTGATTTAAAAAAATCCTTAATCAAAAACCTTATCCAATAGAAAACTACAATATCAGTTAAATCGTTGCAGTAAAAATGATGGTTCTAAACATAATAATAAATGCTTGTTCTTTAAAAGATACATATAATTAGTAATGTCCAAAGCTAAACTTTCCGTAAAACAACGTCATGTATTAGTATATATATAATATATGACGAAAATGGTGATGCAACAGTTGAATAGTGGCATCGCCATTAAAGAAAAAACACTGCTGCCACGTGTAAATTTAACAGACTAATTTTTAAAATTTTTTTTTTCTGTTGTTATTATTATTATAAAAGCTTATTTAACTATATATTGATCCCTAAAATCTAACTCCCAGAAGTTTTAAAATGACGGTCTAATCTAATTATTTTATTGGTTTAATCTTTAATCAACCCTTCTAAAAACTTATATTCATACATGGAACGTGGTTCTTAGAAGGGAGCGAAATTACATCGTCAAAACTTTGTTAATAAAATTACCAAATTCTTAATTAGGACTTAATCAATATCTGTAGTATTTTCAACATAAAAACCAAAGAACGGATATATTAGATACTTTTTGGATACATTAGTGAAACTGGGACCAGACATTATTTCGCTTTAAGTAGGAATCCTTGTCCGCAGTCCTTGTTACATCAAGGCTATACCATTTATGTCAAAAACACGACAAACCATATCTCGTCCTTCCCGTATTTACACCACGAGGAAATATATAAGAAACTTACAACTCTACTACACAGTTATAAAGTCGAAATTGTAACGATATTAAATTCTGATTGTATGCCTTTTACAATGGTTCTAAACAGCCATTATTCTTATAAAGAGAAGGGTTTAATGAAATCGTGTCTACGTAATATGATAATTCGTAGACTTTCCTCTATTAAAATTATTATTCTGAAGTATTAAGATATATTTTTAAATGAGGATAATCTCATAAATTTTTTTATTGAATTTGGAACAACCGGCATGGAATATTCAACATTCATAAAGTAAAATTTATAAATAGAAAAATAAAGTCGGGCGAAGTTTTCATTAGGTTTTTAATTATATGATTTCTTGAATAGGTCGCTTTTGAGATAAGTGTTACTTTTCACTTTTTTTTAATTTTGAAGTTTTTAAGTTTTTATTTCATGCTTTTTAGTGATATTGATATTTTTATATAGGGGAAGTTTGGCACCATTCGTACACGGGGAACCTTCATACAGTCACTACTACATCTTGTAGAAAAGCCTATTTATAACGACTTTGTGTCAGTGGATAGGCGCCGGCGACTGCCAGTTGTCCACGAAGTTAGCCACATATGCAGCCACTGCGAGCGAAACTAAAGAACTTAAAGTGTTTTGGCATGCTCATAGTAATTATTTTGTGTATGTTTTTGGATCTTCTGTGCTTTAATCATAAGTCAAATTTTATTGGATTATTGCTTAATCGTAAGTGAATACGATTAAGATAATAATAATATATCTATATTGTGTATTTTTCTACTTGAGTTATGTGTTAGAAAAAATAATTTTATTCTTGATCTTCGGGGCACGTTCGTACATTTCCAGAAAGGGCACATTCGTACGCGTATGTATGTACCCTCGCTAACAATTTGTATTATTATATCAGAAAATTTAGAAAAAATGATCGGAATTTTAAGTAGAAAAGGCAGACACGTTCCCAATATTAATTGAATGAGTTTTTTTTTGCGTCTGTAAAAGGTGTTTTTAAATAGTAAAAAACAAATAGTTTTACTGTAATACTAATCAAATGAAAAAATTCAAAAACACATTTCGGACTCACGATATTGGAAGTCACAACACTATCAAATGATTATGATAAAGTTTTGAAATATAAATGTTTGCAAAATTGCTATGAAACTGGCTTCGCTGATATAGAATGGATGCACGGTTTTCATAAAAAGATAGTTAGACTCTAAGCCTATATGTCGTTTAGTTTATTACATCGTTGATAAGTTTAAGATCAATGAAAACGTTTTTTTTTAATTAATTTATTGTTTTACTTAATATATATGAAGTTACCACACTGTCTGAATGTTCCCCTGCCCATGTACGATTGTACCCCGTAATAAGGGTAGATTCGGACATTCATTAGCTTTTAGTAAAATTCAATCCTTTGATATATTATACAAGATATAGACTTCGAACTTTTTAAATAAGGACCAGAAAGTATGCTTTATGTTTTAATAAGTAATTGAGTAATTTATCTTTGATTATCAATATTTTAAAAATCATTGACTCAAAAGTGTACAAATGGTCCCAATCTTCCCCTAATATGTAACACTAAAAATACTTTTCTGAAAACCGCATTGAAATCAGTTCTGTCAAACGCGTGATAATAACGTCAAAACATACATACATTTATGCACATTCTAAATAATACAGGTCAAAAAATTGTAACTGAGAACCTCCTTTCTTTGAAATCGGTTAAAAAGTTTACTGCCAGTTACACATACGTCCATTAAAATTACACATACAAATTTGAAATACATTAGAGATTAAAGGCGTCATTAAACATTAATGGACTTTTGTGCATGACACATGGAGGTCCATTTAAAAAGCTTTTGAAGCTACATATTTCTTTGAGAATTCTTGAAATTTTTTATATTTACAGTGCGACCACTTTTAATTAGTGTTTAATTAGTTTTAATTAGTTTTAATTAGTTTACTTGTAATTAGTTTTTGCATCGCTGCGGTACACATACTGTTTGATTGTCTTGTTTTAGTTACATCTTGTTCTCTTTCTTAATAATTTATGGAATATTTTGTAAAATTTAAATTATAAAATTTTGTGTATGCATGATGCAAATAAAGAATTTATCTATCTATTTAAGAAAATAGTTGAATTTTTTTTTCTTTATGCAGTTTTATTTGATTTTTGCTAAAATCGATGACATAGTTCTGAAGAACAGATCTCCGTATGTTTTATAGGTTCGAACATTCACGTTCTGACCTCTCCTAATGTTACAGCTTGTTTATTTTAATAGAACCTAAGAGACATCTATAATTTTCAAAATTATATTTATCTCTACCTACTACCAGAGGGTACTGCATATTTATATTTATGTGGTTCCTTCTGGGAGTGAGCCCGATTCTTTTAAATTTTTGTTTTTTATTTACACCAAAATAAAGAGGCCTGTGGTTTTATTTCATTTATAAAGTTCGTAAGTAAGGGTTACGTTTATTCAATTGAAATACGGAACGTTAAAAACTCCTCAGAATTATTAGCCTCATTATTAATTATAACTTTTTGATATTCTTGTCATCGAATAGACATAAAATTTGCATATTCAATTATTATGAGCCTAGCTCTCAAGGCAATCTAGAAGCGAATATTAAACAGGTATCGAATAATTAAAATTACAAAATATTATCTGTTTAAGTTAGAAAGGCTTAATCGCTCAAATAATAAGCAAACTTTCGAAGATTACTTACGCTTTAATTATTAGGTTTAATTAAGAAATAACAATTATCTAAGATATAAAGTTAGTGGCAGAGTCTGTTACTCTTACTAAATTAAATAAATTTAATTGGATATTTTACTTACGACTTTAACAAGGTTGAAATTAATTTTCGAATTTCTTAATTTTCCAAGGATCCAGTTCTTCTACGATGGCATTATCAAGACAAATGGGTTTGCTTAAAAACTTTGCCTTTGTCAGCTGATCTTACATGACTTACATAGCTAGATATTTAAATATTGATATACTGTTATAAATGTATTCGTATAATTGATAATATGAAGAATAAACTCTCACTTGCCTTTTTGTGTGATTTATTTTAGAAAACAATTTAATCTTATTTTTCAATTTTTGATCGCAGGCTTCGTGGCATTGAGAGAAAGACAGGAAGTGTTGCCAGAATAAATGTACAATATCCTAACAAGAATAATTAAAATACAAAATTCAGGTTTGGAATCAAAAAAAATGAAAAAAAAACAAAAATGTTTATTTACATATCAAATCAGTGTGAAACATTTGTTTGTGATAACATTCCTAGTAAGTATTTAAAAATACCTGTATCAGGATGTTATCGCTCTTCAAGACCGGATTAAACATAGGTAAGTAATTAAATTAAAAGATAAAGTGTGTGTGTGTGTGTGTGTGTGTGTGTGTGTGTGCGTGTGTGTGTGTGTGTGTGTGTGTGTGTGTGTGTGTGTTTATGCGTTGGCAATGCCCTTTTTTTTCCAATTGTTCAATTGTTAATTTTATATTGATGAAGAATGCTTTTCCAACTTATTTGTCAATCTTTAGAAGAAGTTCTGTTTCTTCGTATTTTAGGATTTTGAGCCAGTTTAAAACATTTATTTTACAAGTGTGTAAGTTCAATGGGTATATATTTAGAGTCCTATTAATAATA